AAAAAAAAAAAAAAAGAAGATGGAAGAATACACAGAGTCAATGTACCAAAAAGAAATGGTAGATGTTCAACCATTTCAAGAGGTAGCATATGATCAAGAGCCAATGTACTGAAGGAAGAAGTCCAAAGCACACTGAAGGCATTTGCAAAGAACAAGGCTCCAGGACTTGATGGAATACAAATTGAAATCTTTCAACACACTGATGTAGCACTCACTTATCTGTGCCAAAATCTGGAAGACAGCTACCTAGTCAACTGATCGAAAGAGATCCATATTTATGACCATTACAGAAACAGCTGTCCCAACAGAATAAAGAAATTATTGGACAATATCATTATCACATAGAATTAAATTTTTGCTGTAGATAATTCAGAAATGGCTGCAAGACAGGGAACTGCCAAAGGTTCTAGTGGATTCAGACAAGGATGTGTAATAAAGGATATCATTGCCTTTTTATGTCAGATGGCTCTTTACTGAAAGCAGACAATACCAGAAAGATACTTGTGCTTTATTGACTATGTAAAGGTTTGCGATAGTATGGATAACATTGTAAAACATGAATTTTCCAAAATACTTAACTGCATTCATGAGGACCCTGTACATAGACCAAGAGACAGTCATTCCAAAAGAACAAGGTGATACCGAATGGTTTAAAATCAGGGAAAGTGTGTGCCAGAGTTGCATACTTATTCAATCTGTATGCTGAGCAAATAATCCTAGAAATTGGATTGTATGAAGAAGAACATGGCATCGGGTTTAGAGGAAGACTCATTAACAACCTGTGATATGCATATGATACAACCTTGCTTGCTGAATACTAAGAGGACTTAAAATATTTGCTGATGACAAGCAAAAATCACAGCATTTTCTCTTTGAACAATATGGCATCAAATAGGTTATAGTAACTCAAAAGAATAGATAGGGCACTTAGGGGGCAGTGAGTCTGTTAATGGGGGAGGAACAACTCAGAAAAGCAGGGTGAGAATGGTTGTGTGACTCAAACAATACAGTCAATGTCACTAGATTGTACAGACAGAACCTGCTGGATTGGTATATGTTTTGCAATTTATATTCTAAATAACAGCAAATACACTATATATGAAACAGAACAAACAGAACAGAACTAAAAAAAAAAATATTGACACACTGTGGAAAATGTAACTAATGTCACTGAACAATTAGTGTTGAAACTGTTAAATAGGAACCTAATTTGTTATGCAAACTTTTACTAAAAACACAATAAAATATTATTATTACACTAAAAAAAAATAACAAGAAAGATACATATCATGAAAATACAGTGCAAACATACCTATGTGTATTTTCTTTTAAATTTTATATGGAGCAATCAAGAGTTATACGTAAATCCATAGCCCATAATTAATTATTGTTGTTGCTGTTAAGGGCCATCAAGTCAATTCGGACTCACAGCAACCCTATATATGGTTTTCAGGGAGCGAAAAGTGGGTTTGAACCACTGAACATTCTGTTAGCAGTTCAATGATTATTCCACAGCACCATACCAGGACTCCTAATTAATACTTTTGGGGAGGGGGAGGAAGGGGATAAAGATGAATCTTCAGTTTTATGTTGTACTCACATTCTGTTTAAATTTGTTTCAATGAGCATGCTGTACTTTGGAACATATTTTGCATTTAAATAAAAACCAGAATTACTAGCACTTAAAAACTGAATCCAAGGAGCTCTGGTAGTGTAGTGGTTACAAGTCAGGCTGCTACCTCAAGGTTAGCAGTTCGAAACTACCAGCCATTCTGCGGAGACACATGAGGCTTTTTGCTCCCATAAAGATTTACAACCTTGGAAACCCTATACAGGGTAGCTATGAGTCAGAACCGACCCCACGGCACATCACCACCGTCAAAAGCTGAATCAAGAATAATTCTTTCATAAACCATAATTGGAGAAAACTGATTTAGCACATGACCTCTTTTCAAGAAAACCAAAGCTTTGTTTGGATACCTAGTAAATACTTTAGTAGTAACACTTAAATGTATCATCATTACTAATAAACAGAAGCAGTATCAGTACCTGCATTCTGAGGCATGCAACTGACTAGAGCTAGACTCACAGCTACTGACAGACAATATGAACAAACATCAATATGCTCTTCATCATTGCTTAGTAATAAACACCTACCGAATCATTTGCTGCTAGTGCAAGGGCAAGGTTCACTGTAAGAAACAAAATATAATAATTACATTTAGTAACTGCTCTTCTATTAAATTTTATTTTGCCTTTTAATATTTTCAATATGATAACCAAAGCACAGATATTCTTAATACATCTCCCTTACTTATAAACAAGGAAATGGTAGGAATGCAGATAGTAAAAGAGATTTTAAAACTAATATTCTAATATAAGCAGATGACTGCCTCAAAATTAGAATTATAAATAGCAAATGATAAACCTATTCAAAATTTGTTACAATTTTGTTTACATAATTCACTTAGTTAAAAAAAAAATGTAATGGACTATACAGTTTCAATTATATCCAAAATTGTTTTGCTAAAAAACTAGCTAATCTGTCATTTAATAAATTAAATGATTAAGATCTTATTGTCTTTTCAAAATAAATGCCGATACTGCAAAAGTTTGAAGCATTGAACTTACAAATAGCCATATACACAAAAAGCTGGACCAGTATGCACAGAGAGAAGGGGAGGCAGTAAAAGGAAAGGGTGTAAAATGAGTCCCCAAAATTGCCTATGCCAGAGCACCTTAGCGACATAAAGGGAGGAAAGGGGTAGTCCACAAACACTATTCCCTTTCCATCGTTAGCCCAACAATATGGATCTGCTACATCTGAAAAGAAAAGAGGGCCAGAAAGTACTACATTCCAAGACTAATAGACAAACAGACCCTTATTCTATGGATCCTACTTACCTGCAGAAGAATGTGACAAACGATGCCTGGTTTGTTTCTTTCAAAGTCATTTTTAAAGAGCATAAGCTTTCAATGGAGACCTAGTTCAAATCCCCACTCTTCCACCTTTTATTGAATAACCTTGAGCCCATTATTTTACTATTAAATCTGTTTCCTGTTCTGTAAAATAGAGATAGCTCCTACTTTATAACTGTTGTGAAGATTAAATTAAACAATGCGTGTAAAGTACTTATTCTAGAGCCTGGCACTTGATTCATTTTTTTTAAACTATAAAATAATTCTCAATTTCAGGCATATGGTAGGTTAAACATAATCCAACTTTTAAACAAACTTTTAAAGAGTAACGATTTTAAGGTTAAGGTCCTCTGTATTTATACGAGAACAACAGAGTATATTTGTAATAATCAAAATATCACCAACATAAATATTTCATGGGAAGTATTTTGAGATGTTTAGGACAGATATATACTAAGAGTTACCTGTTACTAAGGCATTCTATGGGTTCAGAACTGACTTGACAGTACTTAATAACAACAACAATGTATACAGTAAGAGCTGTTAAGGAAAGTATAGACAAATTGTTTCAGCCAGATGAAATAATGTTAACATTACTCAAAAAATGGGACAAGTACTAAAGTACCTACTTTGTGTCACACTCTGGACACATAAATTTTCTTATTTAATTACTTTCATCTTCCACGGCAATAGATAATTTTCCAGCTAAAAACAGTACACAAACTGGTGAAAGAGCATCAATCTGTTTTAAACAAATGCTAATCTACAGACTCAGCAACTTACTTCATACAAAACCCAAAGAATTTATAGCAAAAGTCATGAAAACGCCTTTGATTTTTAAGTACTCCAAGTAATCAGGGAGAAAGCAAAAGAATCCAGACCACTGGAAACAGATAAATGTACTTGGAATTTTCAAAAGTCAAAAAAGGATAGATTTTAGAAACAAAGACTAAAACCTTCTAAATTTTAAAAACACAATATCAAATCAATTGCAAGCTCATAGAAAATTCAGCAAAATGCGTAGAACGTGACATGAATTTATTCAGAACAAATCACTGAAACCTTTTTTTAACAATAAGGTATTGCTGTTGTTGTTAAGTGCTGCCTCTCCAATAAAAGATTAGCAGTTTGTCACAAATACAAGGTTTAGTAAATCTTAATTTCCTCAAAACATCTGACAAACTCTTGCTTAATTTCCTTCAGGTAAAAACTGGAAGTGAAAAAATGGAACTAATAACTATGTAATTATATTTGTAGCTCTTTGAACAACTATAAATTGGTATACCCAGAAATACTGAATCGGGCCTCAATGTTAATCCACAAGATATCTAGTGACATTCACAGAATTCTCTACCTTGGCCTGTATTTTTCAAAATACAACTAACTTCTCCGTGGGTAAACTCTTTCACACTGGAACTATGCTAAAATTAAAATAAAATTTAGTAATTATAATAATTAAATTATGTTGTTGTTGTTAAGTGCCATCGAGTCGGTTCCGACCCATAGCGACCCTGTAACAGGGTTTCCGAGGGTGTAAATCTTTACGGGAGTAGAAAGCCTCATCTTTCTCCCGCAGAGCAGCTGGTAGTTTCGAACCGCTGACCTTAAGGTTCGCAGCCCGATTCGTAACCACTACGCTGCAAAAAGATAGATGGGATAAAGCATAACTTATTATCCATTCTTACTGATGGGATTAAAAATTCACTGTGAGACAACAACTAGAATTGAGTGCGTTTTTACAATGGGAACTCCAGAATTACCAGGAGTCTTGGCGTGGCGCTGTGGGTTAATGCGCCTGACTGCAAAGCCGTTTGAACTGCAAGGTCGGTAGTTCAAGCTAACCAGCTGCTCCTTGAAAACCCTATACAGGGTCGGTATGAGTTGGAATCGACTGACGGCACTTAACAACAACAACAACAACTCCAGAATTCCTGCATTATTCTTTGTAGAATAAAAAAGATTGTTGCTGTTTTTGTTGTTAGGTGACATCAAGTCAGTGCCGACTCATAGCGACTCTAAATTAATAATAAAGTTAATGATATAAATTACACCTGGTGAGTAGACTTGGTGAAGAAGTATTCCATTTATGTCATTATCTGGAATACTTTTTTCAGAAGTAAAAGATTCCTTTTTAAATGTCTTGGGAATATTTTTGTTATTAGTCTATAACAATAACCTCATATTCATGAAAAGGTGGACAATAAATAAGAAAGACTGAATAACTGATTCATTTGAATTATGGTGCTAACAAAGAATATCAAATATACTATGAACTGCCAGAAAAATGAATAAATCTGTCTTAGAAACAATATAGCCATAATGTGGCTTGGAAGTGAAGATGGCAAGACTTTGTTTTACTTTGGACAAATTATTAGGAGGGACCAGTCCCTGGAGAAGGACATCATGAGTGGTAAAGTAGAGGATCAGCAAAAACAGAGGAAGACTCTCAACAAGATGGCCTACAACGGGGCTATGTTTGTTTATAGCAATGATTGTGAGGATGGCACAGGACCAGGCAACGTTGCCTTGTGTTGTGTGTGTTGTTACAACTCAGAAACGATTCAACAGCGCAATACACTGACTCTTGCACAGTAACTCTTCTATTTCTGGTGTCACCTCTATTGTGGGTTCAGAAAGCAGCATTAAAAGGCTAGAATCAGTAAAAAGAGCAACCAAAAAAATTGTTTTCATCTCTGTTCGCAGAGTATTTTACATAATTAAAACTACTTTTGTTGTTGTTAAGTGCTGTCCAGTTGGTTCCCACTCATAGTGACCCTGGTTCCCACTCATAGTGACCCTGTATAAGATTTCCGAGGAGCAGCTGGTGAGTTTGAACCACCAAACTTGCAGTTAGCAGTCCAGATCTTATTCTACAGAGCACCAGGACTCCTAAAACAACTTTAAACCTTTTTAAATATTTTCAAAATTTAGATCTATATTGATGATAAATGGTGGAAATTACATTATGATTAAATGAAAAAAGTTCACAATAATGTAAACAGTCTCATTGCAACTATGTGGCTATATGTCCATTGTCTAGAACTGGAAAAGATCAAATAACAGAAAAATTCATTATGAAAATTACCAGATTTTTTAAAAATAAAAATAATAACAATCAGCAACCAATTGCTGAACACTTGACACTGGGCTAGATGGTCAGCTCATTTAATCTGCACAACCACCTATGCAAGAGGTTATCATCATTCCGCATTTTACAGTTAGGTAAAAATGAAGATCTGATGAGCAACCTGGCTATTTTTACTTCAGATTCAAAGAACTGGTTGTGTTCCTAGTTTTGTTTAACTCTGCCATGGAGTCCAGTGTGACTCACTGCAACCACAAGAGCCAGAGTAGAACTGATTCCCTATCATTTCCAATGCTGTAAATGTTTACAAAAACAGACTGTCACATCTTTCAATCTGTTAACCCCTCCTTTAGATACCCAGCACTTAACTATTGCACCATCAGGTACTAAAAGCCAGGTATTGAGAAATTCACACTGAACTTTTCAAAAAGTAATCAGTGCTTTTAATAATGTGCACTTGCAAACTGGCAGAAGTTCTTAATGAAGATCAGAATTAATATCCTATAATACCTGCTGTAGTAGATTTTCCAACTCCGCCCTTTCCAGAAGCCACAACTATAACTTGGTTAACACCTTCTATTGGTTTCTGTTTTGGAAGTCCTCTTGACATCATTTGTGCTCTTCTTTGTTTTAGGGTCTCACTCTCACCACCAGATAACTTTGTAAAAAAAAAAAAAAAAAAAAAGGGTTTTAAATCAGCCATCTACATTATCATGCTGTCAACGAAAAACAAATTTGCGTTTAAGAGGAACTTCAAGTATAAATCTGTTCATTTCCA